AAAAAAAAAAAATCAATGTCAATAAGTACCCATTTTACGAGTCTTTTTTTGTGTTATAAAATTAATAACTAAAACATCCAAATTCTATTGCAAATCAACAGTTATTTTTACTCATTTTAGTGTAATAACTAAATTAAAGCGATTGGATTTAAACTAAAAAGGAAAAGATTTTTGTTTTTTTTTTCGTTGTAACCAGCATAGTAGGCGAGACATCATTAGTCGAAATTCTGAGAAAAAGGAGCTTTAACTGATAGCTGAATAAATGGATCAAAAGATGAAAGCTCAATTAATTTACAAGGTTACAATGCCAGCAATATTTGCAAGATGCTGGAGTAGGAAGCAAGTAAATGGTAGCAATTACGCGTGAAGAATCAATATAGCTACAACAATCTTTGTGGTTCCAAAACTGCACAATCAGCTTGCACAATTGCCAACTGAATTATGCGTCACACGTATATGAAAAATGATTTATGATCACTTAAGCCAATGGCTTCTTGTAATGTAGTTTAACATCATTGATGGTGGTTCTATTAATATCATACATTATGAACTTTGACAATATCATCTTGAAAACCAATCTAGAACAGTATTGTACTTGAAATCTTGAACAACAGAATTATTAAATGTGATCTTAATATCACCACATGCAAATCTATGGCGCTACGAAGTACATTAGAAATTTTTGAAATGCATATGATCTTAAATTTTTTTACAAACATTTGATCTTCTTGCCACCCCAATTGAACAAACCAATACAGGAGAACTTCATGGTAATAACACAGCAATTGATAGTTCTTTCACTCTGAATCTCAGACTTTTATTTTATTAATGGAAAGTTTTAATTGCTTTCACCGATCAAGCACATGAAACGAAACAAAGAAAGTGACCTACTTATAGTTACCCCCTTTCGAAAGTCTATGGTTGAGGAATGAAAGGAGGGTGGGGAGGGAGGGAGCCGAATTTAGGATGGTGGAGTGGAGGAAGCTTAGGGAGTGGAGGGCAGGGTTTCTTGTAGAATGGTGGGAGTGGTTTATAAATTGGAATCGGTGGTGGAAGTGGCTTTACTATTGGAGGGATGTAAATTGGTGGCTTTGGCTTGTAGATTGGAATCGGTGGTGGAAGTGGCTTTACTATTGGAGGGATGTAAATTGGTGGCTTTGGCTTGTAGATTGGAACTGGTGGTGGAAGCGGCTTTACTATCGGAGGTTTGTAAACTGGTGGCTTT